CCACCCCAACAATTTGCTCTGAATCAACCCCTTTCCTTTGTCCCCCAATTCTCTGAGCTTCTCTCTCCTCACACCGTCCTGGGTTCCTCCATTCCCAGGGGCTGTCCAAGCTGCTCTGCTCCTCTTCGTTCAAATCCCTCCCCAAGCTAGCAGCTTTTAGATCATGCCTGGAGGTGAGTAGGGAGGTGGGATGTTGGGTAGAACAATTGACTAACAGTAGAGTCAGGCCTCCAAGAATCAGGAAATGTAACAATTGGACTCTTCTTTTCACAGATAAGCCTGCTCAGAGTCCAGAGGAAGGCGGTGTGTGCATTACTGAAGCCCTTATCACTAAGCGGAACTTGGCCTTCCCTGAGGATGAGGACCTGTCAGAGAAGATGTGAGTACATGGGAGAGGAAAGGGGTGCTGGAAGATTGAAACACACAGGATGACCAGTCCCCTGAGCTCTACTGATTTGTCAACTTACCTTTCTTTGTCCCTCTCTTTACTTAACTCCACACATTCAGTCAGTGGCAATGTCTCCCTCCTTAAAAATCATTCTATTTCTTTTTCACCATGCTCACTCAATTGCTTTAAGTCAGGGTCTTAAATAAGTCATCACCTCTCAACAAACTCCTAATTCGTCTCTCTACCCCCAGTCCAGGCACCCTATACTGTTGCCAAAGTGATCCTTTTAAATGACAAATCTGATAGAACCTGACTCCCTGGTACCTCCAGAATAAAATCCAAACACCGTAGCCTGAGTTGACCTCTGCTGCCTTTTCAGCCTTATTTCTTGCCACTCTCCATAAGTGTGTGATTTCTCTAAGACCCCGTGTTCTCACATCTTAGCACCTTACTACTCAAGAGTGGTGCTGGGACGAGTGGGCAGCATCTGCATCACCTAGGAGCTTGTTAGAAATGAAGAGTCTCAGGCCCACCTACTGAATGAGAATCTGAACTTTAACAAGACCCCCTAAGGGATTCATGGGCACATTAAAGTTCAAGAAAGTCTGGATTCTCACATACTATACCTTCTGCTTGAAGTGCCTTCTCCTCATCCCCCCTCACCTTCCTGGCTAACTCCTACTCATATGTCACCTCCTCCAGGAAGCATTCCCTGAACACCCCAGTCTGAATGCAGTGTATAATCCATGGACTCCCTTAGTCCCTTGCACATGCCTCTGTCATCCACTTGTCATAGATGTTTGGCCAGCTTCCCTAGTAGTGATGGGCAGGGACTCTCATTTGTCTCTGATGGGCACTTAGTAAATGTTTGGGGATTAATGAACGGGTGGGTGGAACAAGTGATCTTCCCTCCGTGGATGACTCAGAAGGGAGGTGAGGAAGGATCTTCCTGCAGAGATTGTCCCCTCTCTGTCCCAGCCCCTGCCTCTCCTACCCAAGCTGGCTGGAGGAAGTCTTCCCCTGCCTCTGCAGGAACCATAACCTGCCATCACCCAGTTTCCCAGTCCAAGGACCCTTACTCACCTCTCACTCTTATTACTCCCAGTGCTACTGACAGATACCCAGGTCTCCAAGTCAACCCAGGTTCTCCGATCTAGACCCCGCCTCATGAGTCAAGCAGGTGTCCCTGACATCTGAGCAATCACTGAGCCATCCACCCACCTTGAAACACCCTCCCCTCCGTCTTCCTCCTAAGAGACCACAGAAGTGGTACTGTTAGCCAACCCTGCTGACCGTTTGCCCAGGTTCCACACGCTTGCTGAACTGCAGACTGTCCGCCTGGACCGGGAGGGAATTACCACTATCAGGAACCTAGAGGGCTTCCAGAATCTTCACAGCCTCTATCTGCAAGGGGTAACTTCCTGCCTCCTGCCCTTACTCCTCCCTGTGGAGAGGACTCCATCCCCTGTGGGCCATGTCTGTCTAATCTGAAAGGAGCAAACCAGGTCATCTTGCCCATCTACCAGTGTTCAGGCAGGCAGACCTTCATAGAAATTGTTTCCAGATGAATCAGAAATTATCTTGAATTGAAAGACCAATCCACCCAAAAGAGATGCTGACCATGCTCTTGAGTCACTGTTTTTTTGTCAGACAATTCTCTTGCTCTAGAAGTCCTTCTTGATGTCTGCCCTAAATCTCTCATGTTATATAGCTCAAGTCCATTTCCTGTTTTGAAAAAAAGGAAGAAGGAACCACGAGATTCCTCAGCATCCTTCAGAACCTTGAAGGCTTTTTGGTGGTGGTGATAGTGGGGGTGGGTGGTTGGTTGATCTCCAGCCTCCCTCAGGTTGAATATACCCAGATCCCTTAACCTTCCCCCACAGAAACTTGACAGACCAAAGTAGTATAGGTGCACTGTCCCCTCCATGTGTGTAATCCACCACCAAAGCCTTTTCCCTTTCCCCGTTTCCCCTTGGTTTCCTTCTCTGATGTCCAGGTCACTCTTTGGTTGTGGGGTGATCAGGGTACTTAAATCAAATTTAGCCCACCCCCAAGTTTATGCCCTCAACCATCCACCTGGAGAAAGCAAATCATCCCAAGGTAGTGACAACCAGTTCAAGAAGTGGGGTGATCATGCCCAAAGTGCCAGATCTCCAGCTACAAGAGTAGACATGGTCTTGGGGCTTTGTCCCTTTAAAAGGCCCCCCATTCAGCTGACCTCAGCTTGGTTTCCCCAACTCGGTTTCTTCCTGCAGAATAAGATCGAGCGAATTGAGAACCTGGCCTGCGTCCCCTCCTTACGGTACTTGGTGCCAGGGCTCAGGCAGGGTGGGGGGAGGGAACAAGAGGGAGGATGAAGGGGAGGAACCTGGTAAAACCCCAAAGAACTGGCTCAGATCTCCCCAAGCCCAGCTGCTGGTCAGCTGAGGACCCTGCAAACCTAGCTCTGCTTCCCTCACCCCAGAAGGCCATGAGTCCCCACTTATCATCCGGCTGCCTAGCCCCGGGGCCCCGGACGCCTGGTGCCCCCGTCCCCCGCTTCAGCTATTCTGTGATTCAGCTGTCTCTCCCCCTCCCTTCCCCTACAGCTTCCTGTCTCTGGCAGGAAACCGAATCAGGCAGGTGGAAAACCTCCGCGACCTCCCACACCTCCAGTTTCTGGACCTTTCTGAGAACCTGATAGAAATACTGAAGCTGGGTAGGAATGTCCTTGCCCTGGCTCATGGAATAAGTCCCGGTGGTACCCTCCCTCCTCTCTGCTCTCCCTCCCCGTGCCTGCATTATCGGCACATCCTCCGGGGCTCTGGGGGGCTGTGCAAAGAGGCAGTGGCTGTAGACAGGAAGGTGGGTGTGAGAACCTCATTATTGCTCTCTTTGCTGTGTGCAGATGAATTCCCCGAGAGCCTTCTCATCCTCAACCTGACTGGAAACAGCTGCACCAACCAGGATAGCTACAGGTGAGGAGGAAGTGAAGGTGGGAAGAGAGGGGTGATGGCCTGCAAACCTGGGGGGACCATCCCTGGCACCTTCTCCACCCTCACTCCAGCTCGAGTTGGCCCCCTTTGGCCTTCCCACCCCCCATAACTCCACTTGGGGCCTGCCCTCAGCTGGCTGGCCTGACCACAGGCCTATCTTCCAGCTCGAGAACACCTCCCCTCCTGGTGTGGTTGCTGTGGCTTGTGTCTGTGCATCCTCCCAGGCTCCACGCCCAGGCGTGCCCTCCTGGGTGGTAGCCTCTGTTTTTTCTGCCCTGCAGGAAGCTGGTGACAGAAGCCCTGCCACTGCTCCTGGACCTAGACGGGCAGCCTGTGGCAGAGCGCTGGACCTCAGACGAGGAGGATAAAGCCTCAAGCAATGAGGATGAGGAGTTCCCAGAGCTGAGAGGCCCGTTCTGCTCAGAGCGAGGTGACCCTGCTTTCCAAGGCTTGCAGCCTCCCCAGAGCACACCCCTGCCTGCCCTGTGGGATCTGGGAGAAGCTAAGACAGCGGTGGTGTCTGGGGACGTGGTCCCAGGGCCAGACCAGTCTGGGCATGCAGGTGACTTGTCCTTCCCACCCCATCTTAGGCTCCTCCTCATTAGGGATGGTAGGGGAGAGTCTGTTTCTGCTAAGCCCGGGGCTCCATCCACCACCCACTGTCCTGGCCCCTCACAGGCTTCCTCAAGGAGCTGGAGCAGGAGATGAGCAGGCACCGGGAGCACAGGCAGCAGACAGCCCTGCTGGAGCACCTACTGAGGGTGGAGATGCGGCCCGCCCTCACCGACCTCCCACTGCTGCCAGGGGCGCCCATGGCCAGGGACAACAGCCCTTCCGTCACTCCCAGGCAAGGGAAGGAGACATCCCCGGAGCCCGTCTCCTTGCCACAAGCCTCCTCTGCCACCAAGAAACCATGCCTTCTGGCTTCCAGGAGCCAGCAAAGCACTGTTCAGGCAGGGAAGGGGGCCGGAGTGGCCGCAGCCGCCAAAGCCTCGTCGGCTAGGGCCCCCAGCACGACCAAAGCTGTGACCAAAAATATCAAGAAGTGAAGCGCAGCCCATCACCACCAGCAAAGCCCCAGGAACACGGAGGAACAAGGAGTGGAGTGGGTCTCCCCTCCCACACAGAGCCCTCGCCTGTGACAGGAGCCTGTCCCCAATAAAGTATCTCCAGGCCCTGCATGTGTCTTCCGTGTCACTTGGGGGAATCTCAGGGGAAGCTGTCAGTAAAAGCACCCAGAAACAGTGGCAGGAATACAGAGCCTGATTCTAAAGAATAGGATCTTGCAGGAACTACCCAAGGGACTGGCACCCCGTCTCAGGCCATCTCGCGGTGCACACATCTCACCGCCCCCCCTAGGGAGTGCCCTTCGGAGGTTCAGGTCAAGGACCAAAAAGCCGTGGTTCTAATCCTCCCCACGTAGTAGCCACCTGCTGTGCCAGGCTTGCATGCTCCTCCGTGTACACACACCCACACGCCTAGGGGCCACCTCCTCTCCCCACAGGGCCCCCCAAGACCTTCACCAAGTCAGAAGAGTGCACCGCCCAGCAAGGCACCCTGAGGCCCTGCAGCCACCTCAGGGCTGCCCTTTGCCCTCTCTCGGCTCTCCCATGCCCACTGGCCCTGGACACTGAATGAGGAAATAGAACACATTTATTAAGGCAAAGGCTGACCCGGCCACTCAGAACAAGGCGGAGGCGGTGAAGGGGTTGCTCTGTCCCTCTACCCCAGGGGTCCTGTGCCCACTGCAGCCCGCTGCACCCCAGGCCAAGCCAGGAGGAGCCGGGCTCAGGCATATGCCCGGCTCTCCTTCTCCACAAAGGCCTGGAAGAGGCCGCCCAGCTCCTGTGGGGACGGGGCCCACTCCCCGGCCAGCAGCCCCCGCACAGCCTCCAGGCCTTCCTGCTCCAGGTCCCGCTGCTTCTGCCGGAGCTGCTGCTCCCGATCCTGCCCGGGGAAAGGTAGCACTGAGTCCCTGGGACTGGCTTCCCTCTGGAAGGGGGGTGTGGCTGCCATCTCACAGAAGCAGGAGAAAGGACAGAGCACCCAACATTCTCCTGGACAGCTGGCTTTGAAGGGAGAGACTTCTCTCCCCAGCTCTGCAGTCTTTCCTCCACTCCCAGGTCCCCTCACGTTTCCAGAGTCCCAGCTGGGAGTGGGGGATTCCCTGGGGGTTACCTGCTCACTCTCCATCAGCCCCAGGGCCACCTGGTGTCCGCGGTAGAGGGCGTGCCGGCGATCCACCTGAGTCTGGAATCGAGGCAGGCTCCGAACAGGGTCCTGTGCTCCAAAAGTGGGGGACAGCACCTGGGGGACCTGGGCCGCTCCCACACCGAAGATGAAAGGTTTGAACACCGACCTGATGGGACAGGGATGGAAGGATTGAGGACTATCGCACCCTTCCGTCTCCCCTGCCTGGCCCGTTCTCCCCAGCCTTCCCCACACTCTCACCGGGACGGGTCTGGCGTGGCAGTGAGGAAGTGGACGCAGGGCTGTGTGGGGTCCTGGGGCAGCACGGACACCATGCTGGCCGTGGTGCGGAAGCCTCCGGAGTCCATACAGATGCCACTCTCCTTGCTCCTGAGGATGCCCATCATCGCCTCTGCCGTGATGCCCCCTGCCAGGGCAGAAGGGGGCCCTCCGGCCTCAGACTAAGCCCCCTGAAGCTGTGGGAGGGGAGGGAGGCCGGCCCCCACCCCATCCACTCACTGACCTGGACGTTGCTGCAGCAGCTCCCGCCCGGCCCGGAAGCGGGCCTTGGCAGCCTCCATGCGCACAGGCTGCTGGGTCAGGGAGAAGGTCTGGGCAAAGTCAAAGGCACCCTGCCCACCCCACCAGCCCTGGGCCCGGGCGTGGGGCCGGAGCTCAGGGTGTTCTGCTGAGATGTCCGTGCCGATGCTCAGCTGGTTGGAGATGTTGCGGGCCCCCTCTGCGGAGGAGACGGGGAGTCGCTCGTTTATCGTTAAGCCCCTGTCCTGTGCCAGGGTTTCAGCTAGGTGCTGAGAACACAGTGGTGAAGGGAACAGACAACCCTCGTGGCGGGGGAGACAGACAAACCGATCACAGAAATAACTGTGAGCTTGCAGCTGTGGTGAGCATCAGGAAGAGGAACCTGCTTGCGTTTCAGGGAGAAACCTAGCCACCAGGAAGTCCAGGAAGGCTCCCCAGAGGAAGCGGCAGGGTGGAGCACAAGAGGACTCAACCAAGTGAGGGGGGAGGATAAGTTCGTGAGTGGACTCATTTCCCATCTCCCTGGATGCCCCCACCACCCGAGACATTTGCTCCTGGATCGTGCCTTCCCTGCCCCCAGCACTGTTCCCACCCCAAAAGGGGAACACCTCTGGGAGGCAGGCCCCAGCACCAGGCCCCTCACCCTGGATCCTCTGCGCAGCCCACAGCCTCCCCGCCGTCTCCAGCACCCATGCCTCAGTCCGGTCGGCCAGCAGGAAGGTGTTGTGGTAGCAGAATGGCATGGGGTCCTCCCAGCAGCTGCCCCCCTGCCCGTAGCGCTCCAGCAAGCCTGTGATCACGTGCAAGGCCTCCTGGGCTGAGCTGCCCCGTTCTAAAGCCAGCCTGGCACAAAGAGAGTCCAGGGGACAGAGGGCGATGGGGTATCACTGGCAGGTGGCAGAGCTTCAGTGGACAGAAGAGGCCCAGAGAGGTTTGGTGACGGGCCCAAGTCACAGAGAAAATCGGCCAACATTGGTTGTATTAAGCACATATAGGCCAGTGGTTTTCAAGCTGTGCTCTACAGGGTTCACGAAAAGGACTGAATCATATTCTTGGAGAAAGAAGCGCCCTGAGCCCTCCAACCTCTTCAATCAGAGCTGCTCCACGTTTAGTGGTTTTACTAATCAAAATTCTCCCTGAGAGTCCATTTGAAAAAAATTTTACTTCTATTGAAAAACATTTTAAACCACTGTCCTATTTCTGGGCCAGCAGAAGCCCAGAGATGGCCACACTTGGGAGCTCCTTACCAGACTGTGGAGATGGGGCCCAGAGAGGGGCGGGGCAGGGACAGCCTCCCTGGAGATTGACAAAGTGGGCAGAAAGGGGGAGGCGCTTGGGGGCAGGGCAGGGAGGATGGCCTGGGTCAGTACTCAGCCCCAGATTACTGGTGTATTGAGGGGATGAGGGAGGCAGGGTCCACACCTGAGTAAATCCATGCCCAGCAGGGCTTCCCCTGTCCCAACTGGTTCCTTGGTCCACACCGCCTCGTTGCCAATGCAGACACCATGCTCATTGGCGCCCATCTCAGCCCCCCACAGCCAAGAAGGGCGGCTCAGGATCACAGCATGGGTCTTTGACACCTGTTCCACCTCAATGTAGGTGCACTGGAGATAAGGGAGGAGAAAGGGAGAGTCCACTCAGAAAGGAGGAGGTACCTATAAAGTGGTGGCATTTATGCCCATCACCTTACACAGTCCTTCGGGGAAGGTCTAATTATTCCCATTTTACAGATGAGGGAACTGAGGTCGACAGAGGCTAAATAATAGGTTAGGTTCCGGTCGGTAGGCTCAAAGCTCATGCTCATTTCACCACATCTGGCAGCTTCCCAGGTGGGGGTAGGAGAGGAGGAAGGTCTTAGAAGAATGCCTAGTTCTGCCACAACTCCCAGCACCCTATAAGGCCTAACCCACCTGGAGCCGGCTCCCAGGGACGTGAGTGCCTGCCGGTACAAACACCACCTCCTGCACCTCTTCCCGGGGCCGGTCAGAGTTCTTGGCAAAGATCACAGCTGGGATGGCCGAGGCCGGGGGCACCGAGACAAAGCAGTCGCAGGAACATGGGGTGTCAGGGCTCCACGATGCCATCTGCGGAGAGGTGGAGATGAGTGTGTCCCTCTCGTGCCACCTCTCCATTATCCTGAGCGGGGCGCAGTCCTAGGGAGCCCCTCTCCTAACACGTGCAGACACTCCGGGAAGACACTGCCGTCGGACGCTCAGCACCGCACGCACACTCGGTGCCCGGCGTGCGCGACGGAGACGCCCACTCTCTCCCCAGGCTCCAGGCTTGGGAGCCAGCAGACGGGCGCAGACCGCATGCTCCGAGGGCCGTGCTGTACCAGAAGTCCTGACCCTTCAGGGCAGTCGCGGGAGCGTCTCCCTCGCTGCCCCACCCCTCTCCAAGAATCGCACGCCACTCTTCTGTCTGCCAGTTTCTCGCTTCCCCAATACTGTATGCCCCTCACCCTCTCTCCCTCCAGGATCCGCAGCCTAGTCCCGAGCGCCACTGCCTCCGCTTCGGGTAAGGTCGGTCTCAAGGGGCGGAGGCTCCTAGATGACCTGGAAGGCTTTGGGCCTGGGGGCGGAGTCGGAATCGAGCACCTGCAGTTCCTTGGTTTTCCACCAGGGCGCGCGCCAGCACCACTTCTTGGAGCGAGGCGGCCTTCGGAGTCCTGCTGGCTGCCTGCCCTACCCCGGGCGCAGCTTTCAGGCCAGATAAAGGCTGCGACGAATCCGCTAGCTCCTCCAATGGGGTCACTGTCGGGAGAGGGAGCTGGGGGGTGGAAAGGAGCCCACGTGAAAGGGGAGGAAATAAAAACTTGGCTGATTTGTTAGAGAACGGGGAATGCTAGGGCATCCGGAGATGACGGAAGAACCTCAGCTACTTGTGACCTGGTTTGAATCACAAAGGTACAACGCCAGGCTGGTGCCCCCTCCCCCGCATCCTCTCTCTGTCCTGTCCCTCCTACTCCTTCCCATCTCCCACCTCCCACTCCCCAACCCCTCGGAAATAAGATCTATAAGAGTGGTCACACAGGAATAAAGACGCAGACGTAGAGAATGGACTTGAGGACACGGGAAGGGAGAAGGGGAAGCTGGAACGAAGTGAGAGAGTGGCGTGGACATATATACACTATCAGATGTACAATAGATAGCTAGTGGGAAGCAGCCACATAGCACAGGGAGATCAGCTCGGTGCTTTGTGACCACCTAGAGGGGTGGGATAGGGAGGGTAGGAGGAAGACACAAAGGAGATATGCGGATATATGTATACATATAGCTGATTCACTTTGTTATACAGCAGCAACTAACACAACATTGTAAAGCAATTATACTCCAATACAGATGCTAAAAAAAAAAAAAAAAAGAGTGGTCATAGGTCGGGAGGTGTAGGAATAATTTAATGCATTTTTTTAAGGCACATAGGCACAAAATCCATCCGACCTCCAAAAGGCCAATTCTGCCCCACAGTGCTCAAACTCACTGGAGGTTAGCTTTGAAAGGAAATTTGGAAATTTCTAGCCCAAAGATTTGGAACTGAAACAGTAAAGGAGAAATCCTGGCCAAGGGGGCACATATCCATGTGGAGGTAGACTCTGAGCCCAAATGTTCTGCTTCCCAGGTCATTTTCCTCTATAAATTATCTCCATAACCAGCATTTAAGCTAATGCATCTCACACCCTCTTGCTCTATGGAGCCCTCCAGGAAAGGGGGGAGGGGAGACACTGCAGATTATATACTTCTCCCACATCCACCCTGCCAACCAATCAGGGCTGCTGCTCGGAGCCCTGGCCACAGCATCCCAGCCTGTGGTCACTCCTGGGATGGGAATGAAGGCTGAGGTCGAGGTTTCCCCAGGAGGCAGGCTGCGGGCAGGTGTGCTGGGTGATGGCCGGGGAAAACCTGCCAGATAAAGCTGTTGGGACATCTGAAATCTGAGATGTTTTCTGATTGCCTCTAGATAAACAAGAATGATTCCCAAGAGAGTGCTGTCTCCACGGAGATGGACTTCACTTTCAGAAAGGGGACTGCCAGTTGCACAGAAGGTTGGCCTAGAAGCTGGGCTGGAGGCAGAGTAGAGCACTACCCGGAACTGTGCAGACTGGCATCTCATCCTGCTCCTGCTATGATATAGCTCCGCGGGTCTCTTAGGGCAGGTCACTTTACCTGCCAGGGCCTCAGTTCCTCCAGTAGCAAATGAAGGCATTGGACTAGATCAGTGGTTCTCAGCCATGGTTGGGATGAGGAGGGATTAGTTTTCAACGACGCAACTCCCATTGCACAACACAGTATAATACTTTGCTTCTCAAAGTGTCCGCGGATTGCCAGCATCAGCGTTATCTGGAAGCTTGTTAAAAATGCAGAATCTCACGCCCCACCTCAAACCTACTGAATAGGAATCTGCATGTTAACAAGACCCCCAGGTGTAAAGTTTGAGAAGCACTGCTCTACTGCACCCCCAAGGGACATAATTCGATGGGATGCTGGGGAGTGAATTGGAACATCTGGAAAAACTCCATGCATGACTCTAATATGCCCTCTACTGGGTGGGAGCAACTGGACTATTTGGCACCTGAGATTCTTTTCAAACCTACACTGCTCAGATGCTGAGCAGCCAGACTCGCAAGGATTAATGGGAGGTGAAGGCTGCTTCTGGTGTGATGTATGGGGTGGGGGTCGGGAGGTTGCCATTGGACGTCATTCCAGAAGCAAACATCAAGACTGTGTGGTCAGGGCTTCCCTGGTGGCGCAGTGGTTGAGAGTCCGCCTGCCGATGCAGGGGACACGGGTTCGTGCCCCTGGGAAGATCCCACATGCCGCAGAGTGGCTGAGCCCGTGAGCCATGGCCGCTGAGCCTGCGCATCCGGAGCCTGTGCTCCACAACGGGAGAGGCCACAGCAGTGAGAGGCCTGCGTACAGCAAAAAAAAAAAAAAAAGATTGTGTGGTGATAAACGTGAGTCCCCGAGGTGGCTGACCTGAGAGCCGGTTCACATCCTGAACTTCCCCAGCTGCCCGCTGGGGAGCAGGACCGGGCAGAACAGCACAGCCCCAGGCTGCAGTCCCCAGGCTGCAGGTTCCTCGGTCACTTCCCCATTCCTGACTTCACTCACCCACCCTAGAGGGATTCTATTCCCACTTCCCAGGAGAGGAGAGGGTGGCTCAGAGACATTGCCCAGAGGGCCAGCCCAGGTGTTTTGATTTCCCAAACTCCCTCTCAGCCCCTCCAGGACTGTCCTGCCAGGGGTGCCAGAACTGAGGGGTCAGAGGTGGCCTGGGGCGGGGGCGGGGGGGAGTGGCTGCAGCCAGGCAGCATTGCCGTCAGAGTGAGCAAGTGAGCGTCAGAGCCCCACCAAAGGCCCCCGATAAGAACGCAGGTCAGGGCTTCCCTAATGGCGCAGCGGTTGAGAGTCCGCCTGCCGATGCAGTGGACGCGGGTTCGTGCCCTGGTCCGGGAAGATCCCACATGCCGCGGAGCGGCTGGGCCCTGTGAGCTACGGCCGCTGAGCCTGCGCATCCGGAGCCTGCGCATCCGGAGCCTGTGCTCCGCAATGGGAGAGGCCACAACAGTGAGAGGCAGAAGGAGCTGTGAGGGGAGGAGGGGCAGTCCCAGCCCTGCCCAGACAGGCCCAGCCGGCCCCACAGCTGCCCTGCTGTCCCTGGGAGCAGCAATGGGGGAGAGCAGGAGAGGACTCGCCAGGCTCCTGGGGTCTAAGTCCCCCAGAACCAGGAAGACAAAAGAGGAGCCCCAGGGAGCGGGGTGGGCCTGAGGTCACCGTAACACTCCTGTCCCTCCTCCACCCAGGCAGACAGAAACAAACATTTGGCCCCCTCAACTGGTCTGCTTTTCTCTGTAACCCCTAAATCATTCTGATGCCCCCATTTAAGAAACTTTGTGACCCCAGACTCTCCCAAACAAGTGGTGGAATGGGCCAGGCTGGTTACCATATTTGGCTCTGAGAAACTGGATTAGGGTTAGAGTGGGGGGAAATAGGAATCCCACTGGGATAGATGATAATTTTGGCCAAGATGTAGGATGGAAAGGTGAAAGAACGTAATACCCTACTCTGCTCCCTTGGAGCCAAAAACTGATCCTCTGTCAACTTTCCTAGGTTTGGGGCTCTGGAGCCATGAGGCTTTTACTCATCTGACGTGTGTTAGGCACCAACTGCGCACCAGGCGTTTGAGCAGCCTGGGAAAGTGTGCATTTGTGCATATCCGGGGGTTCCCGATGGGTCCAGTGAGGAAATTCTGTGCACACCGTGGTTGCGTAACTGTGGCAGGTCTCTAGCTGGGAGTTGCACTAGGAACCTTTCCCTCATGCTTTTCAGCTGGGTGGGAGCCCATCAGATATCTTGGCTGCCTTTCATCACCTTGTCCCTGATAGGGATCATCCTGGGTGAAGAAATCGCTGTCAGTCACCCCCACCTCTCTCAGAGCCAGAAGGCCTGATTGACAGGCACACACCCACGGGGGTGGGGTGAGGGGGCCAAGGAGCTGGCCATCTGTGGGAAGGCAGGGAACCGGCATTCTTGGCAGGGGAGGCGAAAGAGGGGGCTTCCATGTGGGAGAGGAAGGAAATATCTAGAACCTTTTCATCTCCACAGGAGAAGACCAGGGAGGGACAGTCAGCCCAACTATCAACCCCGAGGGAGGGCCACCCTCCTTCTGCATCAACAACCTCCCGGCAGGATCAGACCCTTCAATCAGCTCAGCTCTGCCCCCAAACAAAGGGAGGTGAGGCTGCCCAGGGCTGCAGGATCAAAGAGAAGTGTCCACCCCACCCTGCAGCCAGCCTGGTCCTTGCTGCTGAGACACCATGAGTCAAAAAGGAAACCAGAGCTGGAAGACAAATGAAGCAGTGATGTGGTTGATGACTTTATTATGGCATAAAAAACACAGGCTGTTTCTTCCTCCTCCTCCCCCCCCAAAATGGGTTCACAGCACTTAAAGAAAAAAAAAATCCTACATTTCTCCTCTAGGGGGCTGCCTAGAAGGGGGCAGACAGCCAAGCAACCTAGATCTATAAGAGGGGAGCAGAAGAAAACCTATCCAAAGCCCTCACCAGCACACCTTAGAGCTCGGGGCCTCCGTGGGGGGAATATCCGTGCTGTCCTCTCCCCAGCGCACATTTGGGAGTTCCCCTGAGGATGGTCACTGGGAAAGGCTGTCCTAGTGGCAAAGGGAGATGTGGCTGGTTTCCTCAGCTGGAGGAAAACGGCATCTCACACCCACAGCGCCCTCCCTCTCTCCCCCTTATCCACCTGGCCAGGCAACCTGCAGGCACTGCCAACTCTCTTCTGCCCCCAGCCCTCTCAGCAAGGAAAGGGACCTCTGGTCGGATTAGCAGGAGGTAGAGGAAGAGGGAGCATAAAGAAAGGACATTCCTTCTTAACCTACCCCAGGCCCATGCGTCCTTCAGGGAGAGTCACCCCATCCCTCTTAAGAAGGGCTCTCTTCTATACAAACATATTCCCACCCAGATCCCAGCCCCACTTCCCAATAGCACCCAGTCCTTGGACTGATATCCCCAAGGAAGGAAGAGATGCTGTGGGCCTAGGCTCCAGGACCTTGGCTGGGGTGAACAAGATGGGGTCTCCCTGGCTGGAGACCCCAGGCTCAGTAGAGAAACACACACATACATAGGTATACACACATGAACACACATGTCCTAATATTAAATAAAATACCCTTTGCTTATAACTTAAAAAATCAATACACAACTAATCCTTGCACAGGGCTCTGGGTGGAGAAAGAAAGGCAGAGAAACGGGAGGTCGGGGGGAATCTTAAGTCCTCTACCTGGAGCCTGGGAAAGCCTACTAGTTCCAGGCTCCTGTGGCCTGTCAGTCCCTGCCCCCATCAGCTTTTTTCCTTTTGCCTGGCTCAGCCTCTTCCAGCTTCCCCCCTCCCCACGTTCCCCACTCCAGAATTACCAACAGGAAGTATTTCTAGCATCTAAAGGAGGGAACAGGGACAGCTTCCTGGACATCACCTCAGAAGGCAGGCCAGTGACAGGACAACCTCCGCATATGGAAGGGGAGCCTCACAAGAGATGAGATGGGGAGGAGCCTCCTAACACACTCTACAGGAGGGGCAAGGCTTGTAGGCAGCACGAAAGGGGAGCGTCGTCGAGCTAAAGAAAGAGTGGGGCTTAGCTTCTCTGCAAGCAGATGGCCAGGCAGGGACAGAGTCCTCCGCTCTGAGCAGGAACCGCTGGAGGTCCCTCTGCTGGGACACCCCCACCTACCCTCACCCAACCGAGGTAACCCTCTTCCTTCCATCCCTAAGGGGAGGGCAAATGCCAGGCACCAAGGGTGAGGAGCTACATGAATTCTGGAGCAAGGGCTCTTGGCTGTCTTGAAGGCCTGCCTGGGGTGACAGATGAGAGTGGACTACTGAACTTTACTTTGATAAAGACCAAGAGTTAAGGACTGAATCAGAGTTAGAGAGGTAAGGGCTTAGTTCCACTCCCTGACCAAATCCCTTTCTCTCATTTTAGAGGAGACTTCCTTGCTCAACCTCCACATCTAGCTCCCTCCTCCAGCCCACAGTTCTGGCTGGAAGCTGTCGCCCATTCTGGCCCTCGTCCCTTCTTCCCTCGTGGCTCCATCAGACTGGGTCTGGAAGGCTTAATAAGGAGGCACATCAGAGACATTATTTCTGCGGTGACAACCCTCCCAGCCAGATAGAAACTCCTCCCTTAGGGGGACCCCCCAGCCTCTGCTACCCCATCTCAGCTATCCCTCCGGAAACCCCGGGGTAAAGCACTCTAAGGGGGATGAAAGGGACCCGGGCTGCAGCGCGGCCCCAGAGGCCCTTTTATGTCCGGGTTCCCAGGCGCTAACGACGTGTCCAGACAGCTACCCGGAGCGCCCGGGGCGGCCCCACTTCTCTCTGCTCCGGGGACGCGCCGTATCCTCCAACCTATCCCCTGGGCCCTCCAGCCACCGTAGGGGTAGTCCGCCCCAACCCCCCAGCCCAGGGGCGTGAGTGAAAGAGCGAGGAAGGGGAGAACTGATGGGCATGCGCAGCTCCTCCCCGCCCAGTCAAACGCGTCCGTCCTGTCCAGCCCCAGAGACTATGAAACCCCTAGCGACCCGGCTCCCTGATCCCCGCATCACTTTCCCTCCCTCTCAATAAATAACCACCTTCTCTTGCTCAAGCCACCCCCACAAGGGCATCAGGCCAGAGGGCTCTCTTCTGATGGCCCCAGGGGAGACCAACGGGGAGGCGGGACGGGGAGGCGGGACGAGGAGCTCAGTTGGAGGGAGCCGCACTGCCCTCGGCCTCGCGCTTCCCTTTGCCCCCGGGGGGCTCCGCTCCGCCGGCCTTGCCCTCTCCCGCCGCCGCCCCCCCGGCAGCCTCCTCTTTGGCGCCCTCGTGGGTTTTCATGTGTTTGGCTAGGTGGTCGCTGCGCATGAAGACCCGGCTGCAGACTGCGCAGGGGAACTTCTTGGTGCCGGTGTGGGTCTGGAGGTGGCGCTGCAGCTCGTCGGAGCGCGTGAAGCGCTTGCCGCAGAACAGCCAGTTGCACACGAAGGGGCGGTCGCCGCTGTGCCAGCGCAGGTGTGCCTTCAGGTGCGATGTCTTGGCGTAGGCTTTCCCACAGCCCGGGATGTGGCAATTGTGCAAATGCTTCTTCTTGCCCCCATCGGGCCCGCACGGAGCCCCCAGTCGCTCCGCCTCCAGGCAGTTGGGGCAGCGGCACACGGTCTGGCCTGAGCTGCGGGGCACTGACCGCCGGGAGCCTTTGGGCCGGGCCGCCCCATCCAGACTGGTATCCAGCCCCTGGGATTCCGGGGCGGCTGCTTCCAAGGCCTTCGCCCCGTCGGGAGGCCCGAGGAGGTGCTGCCCTCCGGCGGCTGGGAGGAGATGGTGCGGGTGTGGGTGGGGCGGCTGGGCACAAAGCTGGTGGTCTCCGACGTAGCCCCCCAAGCCAGCCTGAAGCGCCCCGGGGTGGCCAGGTGAGGTCAGCGCGCCCTGAGTGTGGGGGAGGTCCATCCAGCTGGTACCCGGATGAAGGTCCCACCACGAGCCATCCTCGGTGCCTGGGTGCGTCGGCCGGAACCACGATTCGTAATGGTGTGACATGTCCGGCTGCAGGAGCTTGGAAAAGGGTCCCGGGGCCAAGGGACTGTCGCTTTCCAGGTCCTCGCAGGTTACCCGAGAGGAGGACCCCGGCAGCTCATAGCTCTGTGAGAAGTCCACCTCTGGGCCCAGCGGGAGGCTCTGCAGCTCTCCAGGCTGCAGGGGGGAGGGGTAGTCCCCGGCCTCAGGGCTCGTGTGGCCCTGGTATGTTTGGAGAGCCTGCAGGTCGAGGCGCGGCGGGGAGGCGGGAGGCGCGTCCGAGTGCTGGCTGCCCAGAGAGCCACAGACGGCGGTTAGCATTGCCGGGATCCGGGGTGGGGTGGGGGACAGGGATGGTCAAGGGCACCTCAGGTGGGACCTAAAGGAGGAAAAGATGAGGTAAAGTGAGGAAAGTAACCGTCTCATTTCCCGTCCTAGCCCAGTTCCCTTCCCTGTCAAATGCTTCTTTCCCATCCCCAGGTGAAAAAGAGGAAGGCATGTCTGGGCGGGGACTAAAGATCAGCTAAGAGAACTTGGGAGTGCTAGGAAGGGTTGAGGGTGTGAGGTGCAGAGGATGATGGAAGTCTACCTTCCGCTAGGTGATCCCTCCCTATAGGACCCAGCTCATCCTGGAAGTTGGGCTGGTCCCAGGCAAGTAGGTCAGTCAGATACAACTAGAGTACAGTGCTGGAACCATTGTCCCTGCCCAGCCCAGTGGGAGGGGCAGTGGCATTGCCCCATAACCCCTGCCCCCATGCCCGCCCACCCGCAGATCTGCTGCCAGCCCAAATGGAGAATCTAGGCCCATCTCAGCTTCCCCAGTTTAACTCAGGACGCAGTTGGGGAGAGGGAGGTGGTCTAACCCAAAGCTTAAAGTAACCTGACTTCCCGAAGCCCAAAGCAGGTTCTGAGGTTTTGGAAAAAGAGCTCTCCTTCCATCCCTGAGGCATGCTCAGTGAAGAAAAGCATTTCACTGCTCTACACCACTCACCCCAGCTCCCTGCCTGGCTGGGTTGCCTCAGCCCCACCAAACCCACTCCCATGCCCCTTTCCCTCTGGCAGGGACTTCACCTCCCTGGGGTGCAACTGAAGTGCCAGTTTCCAGAAGACTTCTCCCTGCCAGAGAAACTAAGCCCCCCTCCCTGTCCTGACCTACACCAGTGCCCAGCCAGCTTTCTGGCTGCTACCCCTGCCCTCCTCCAATCTAGGGGAAACCAGATGTGAAGCTCGGAGGGGTCAGCCAGAGAAGAGCTCACCAGCACGCTCAGGAAGATAAAATTGCCACCCCCTTAAGTGATTCAGGGACAGAGTGGGGGAAGCAACAGGAAATGCCAGGATCACACAGAAATTAAGAGGAAGAATTACCCAAAGAGATTATATAGGGGGTGCATTCTAGGCCTGGATCATTTTTAGGAGCTGTCCAGATGATTCTAACATGCAGCCAAGTGTTGAGAACTATTGCTCCAGGCCAGTTCTCTTATTTTAGAGAAGAGAAAACTGAGGCCATATTTGGAGAAGTCACTTGAAAAAAAATTTATTCATTCAGTCAGTAAATATGTACTGTATATACCTCTGTGAACCAGAGGTATATACAGTATATTCCTGGTCTGTTTCTCTTTCCC